CAATACTAATGAGAATTTTTAATTAAAGTATATTACAAACTTTTCATTTAGACCCTAAAGAATCATATTAACTTGAATGAAAATGGCATTATATGACCCTTTTAAGCTGACTGTGATTAAAAAGCTTGTTTAAAAACACAACTTGATCCTACAGAATTTGTCAATTACAGGCCGATCTCCTTTTCTGTCACACACACTAGAAAAGGCAAAATCATGTTCCTTTTTAGAAAGAAATGATATCTGCGAGGATTTTCAATTGGGATTTAGACCACATCATAGTACCGAGACAGCTCTCATTAGAGTAACAAATGATCTGCTCTTATCGTCCGATCGTGGTTGTGTCTCTCTATTAGTGTTACTCGATCGTAGTGCTGCATTCGACATCGACAACAACATTCTTTTAAAAAGACTAAAAACTATGTTTGCATTTGTGGAACTGCATTAGCATGGTTTAAAGGGTTAGTTGACCCAAAAATGAAAATTCTGTCAGTATTTACTCACCCTCATGTTGTTCCAAACCTCTATGTGTTTATTTGTTCTGCTGAACACAAAGGAAGATATTTGGAAGAATGTTTTAATCAAACAGATCTCATTCCCCATTGACTACTGTAGTATGTATTTTTTCCTACTATGGCAGTCAATGGGGAATGAGATCTGTTTGATTAAAACATTCTTCCAAATATCTTCCTTTGGATTGGAACAACATGAGGGTGAGTAAATACTGAGTGAACTAACCCTTTAATAACTAATGATCGGATTCGGACGGAAGTGAATCATTAAAAACGAACTTTATCTTCTAACTTCTAGAGCTGTTGTAAAGTCCAAACTGTGTTCCTTTAATTTCCTATTATCACTGTAAATCTGCTTTGAATCAATCTATTTTATTAAAAGCACAGTATAAATGAAGGTGACGTGTGTGTGTTCAATTTCACTAGTTTGCTTCTTTCAAGCGTGTCTGTCTGGGGACATCATGTGGATCAGAAATGTAGTGCACAAGAAACACAAACACAGTGAGACTCATTTAATGCAATAACTTACAATTCAACCAAATAATACCGAAACATTGTGTGAACACCAGGAAAGCTAATGTGTGTGTCTGTTATATTCCAGATTATCGTGTGTGTGTGTGTGATTCAGCTCCTCGCCGGAGTCGAGTTTCCTTTCACTGTTTTCTTCAGATGATGATAATTGGGTAAAATCTTCATCAGGAAGTCGAGCTGAAGCGTCTGAGGCTTGAAGAGGACAGAGAATAAAGCGTAGATTATCACCTGCGGTGTGTGTGTGTGTGTGTGTGTGTGTGTGTGTGTGTGTGTGAGTTACCTGCGGTCTCTCGGTCTGAACGCGTCTCAGACACTCGCAGCCGTAGATCACAGTGTTTTCCGGAATGACTTCACACGTGTTCACCTGACAACAGGCTCCGACGATACACCCGCTGGTCAGGATAACGTTCCTGCCGACCTCAGCTGAACACACACACACACCAACATCATCAGATGAACACACACACACACACCAACATCATCAGATGAACACACACACACACACCAACATCATCAGATGAACACACACACACACCAACATCATCAGATGAACACACACACACACACCAACATCATGAACACACACACACCAACATCATCAGATGAACACACACACACACACCAACATCATCAGATGATCACACACACACACCAACATCATCAGATGAACACACACACACACACACACACACACACCAACATCATGAACACACACACACACCAACATCATCAGATGAACACACACACACACCAACATCATGAACACACACACTTCTCTCACCTTTGGACTCAATGACGTTGTTGTCCCCGATTTTCAAGGCCTGAGACACTAAACACAAACACACACTTGTTAGATTCCTCGACGACAGAATCTTGATGTTAAGTGCTGCTCTGATGAAGCACACACACACACACACACACACACACACACACACACACACACGTACCGCTTCCGACCTCGAACACATTGTTGGTCCCGATGCTCATGGTTTTGGGCTCCACATCGTCGGCGTCCGGCAGGATGTTTTCAGGGAAACTGCCAGCAGAAACACACTCTACGGGTTAGTTCACACACACCCTAACCCTAACCCTAACCCACACACACCCTAACCCACACACACACACACACACTCTAACCTAGTTCACACACACCCTAACCCTAACACACTAAAACTTTTGCGGCATCAGGGAGCCGTTATCAATATGCGGGAGACTCCCGAACGTCTGCTGATAGCGAGGGGATTAATGTAGAAGACTAAACGCTCCACGGTTTGGCTGTATTTCACGTGTAGAGTTGCGCGTCAGAGTGAGGGTGGCGATTGTCATAGAATCACGCTAGCCCATTAGCTGATGAACGCCTTGACGCTCTTCGTTCGCATATTATATTAGCGCGCATTATCTGAAATGATGTCCGGGCGGTAGTGTAGAGTGGAGCTCAACTCGAGTCTCCAGTGATGGGCGGAGCAGTGGGAGTGGCCTGTGGAGCTGAGCAGTGCAATGCACTATGGGGATTGTTGTCTACACTAAAAAGCACTAAAAAGTCATTTTCTCCTTTTTCTCGGCCAAGAAGGACCCAAATTAGAAATATATGATACTATTCTACTACATTTTTGACCCACTTTCAATAAATATTCATGTGTCCACCGGTGGAATTACCCTTTAAGTTAATTCTATTAACTGATCAAAATACTCCTAATTTTTTTTTGTTTTGAACTAATCTGTTACATATTTGGTGGAGATGCGCAAGAATCGTTTTAAACATTGTAAGCAAGCAGACAGTAATAAATCATATGTTGTCCCATGAGTATTTATGAACATCGTATACATGCAGCAGAACTATAGCGTGAGTCCAGAAAGTGTGTGTGCGTTTCACCTGTTGATGATCAAGGCCTGTTCCTCGATCAGGTTCCCCTCTCCGATCACGATGGGTCCGGCCTCCGCGATGATCCGCGCCTTCGGGTGAACCACGGTCCGAGCTCCTGAAACACACACACACACACATTACTGATCCTCTGTGATATTACCTAACCCTAACCACGGTCCGAGCTCCTGAAACACACACAGACCATCAGTCACAACAGATCATATTTATAAGAATATTACTGTAAGCAATAACACACACACACCGATGGTCACGTCTCCTCTGATGTCACTCTCCACACACACTACGGCTCCTGCTAAGATCTTCACACTGAAAACAGAAATGAAAACATCAGACTGATGATCTTTATGAAGGATCTGTTTATAATATATCGCTAATCTGTGTAACAAACAAGCTTCCCTAACACCAGCGGAGTTAACAAGACAATATCACACACACACACACACACACACATCAGTCTCATATTTCTCAGTCGTGTGTCTCTTTAATTCATACATCTCTTATTCGTGAAAGAAGGAACTCACTGTCCTGATTATCTGACAAATGCTACAGTATGAATGATAGCAGATCACTGTTACATCACGTGACCAGATCACTGTTGCATCACGTGACCAGATCACTGTTACATCACGTGACCAGATCACTGTTACATCACGTGACCAGATGAAAGACCTTCTTTATTCGGGCTTGAAATGAAACGTACAAATCAAAAGACAAATAACAAACTTGCACAAAAACCCTGCAGTTTGTGGTTTCGTTTTCACACTTAGAAGTAGCAAGTTGAGGTTTTTACTCTCGATCATGAATAAACAGTGATGATAAATCTGAACTGATTTTGAGGCTCCAACATTCCAATTTAACCTGATTATTAATATAATAATACATGTAAATTTAACCACCGCTGGTCTTTTCCTCTAGATTATTCATTATGCATGTTAATACAGATGCAGGCATCATCATTAATACAAGTTTCAATATGACGTTGGGTGTGTCTGTTTAAATTGGATTCTCTTCATCTATTTTTAACCACACAGAGGTCTATATAGCTATGGACATAGGTGCAGCTGCATTCGTGATATTTAGTTCTTAAAAACAAGACAAATTGATGAATAAAATAGATATTTTACCTTTTCTGCCCGGTTTGTTTTGCATTTGGATCCGCCATCTTAAAGCACTCGATGACGTCAGCACTCGACTGAGCTGCCTGTCAGCGATGACGCGTGTGATTGATCGATGATGTCTGTTCAGTATTACAGGCGCCCTAGGCAGTGTTCACTGGGTAGTGTTCACTTCACGTCACTTCGCTTCTGCCAATTTCTCAGGAGCTTGATTCTTCTTTTTCTTTGAGCTTATTGGCGGTTCGCATTCTTAAAAGAGCATTAGTTGCTTGATTGTAAAAAAAAAAAAAAAAAAACTAAAAATAGGGCGGCGCTAGGGGTGGGCTAAGGGAGAGAATTTAATATCTCTCGACTCTTGCATCTTAGCGTCCGTCAACATACGCGTTGTCATTTATTTTACTGTCTATGGTTGTCATTCACAACCGGCAAGAACCGCCCACTCAGGCTAGTGCGTCTGACTGACATGTAAACTGGCCAACCATCGATGAGAAGCTGTACGATCCAGCCAATGAAATTAAATATTTTGGAGCCATGCGGTTTGTTGACGTGTAAGTTAGTAATGAATGAGTAAAATGGATGGTCTCAGTTCTTCCAAAAAAAAAAAAAGTAAGTAAAACACCCCAGCCATCACTAAAACAAGATACAACAGCTTCAGCAGGTATCTGTAACTTTTAATCATAGTATTAGATTTCTTAGATTGTCAAACGCATTTTGAGTGCTTTATATGTTTGGTCAGCATGGCCTACAGGGGCCTATGCTATTTTACCATGTCTCAGATGAGTCAGCAAGGAAAGAAGAGGCTGTGTGACATTGTGATTTTTAATTTCAATTAGCAAGAAATATTCACCTTGTTAAAAAACAAACAAACAAAAAAAAAACAAATATAAGAATTTTATTTAAAGTTTATTGTATCGTGACACATACATGGATTTCTCTGGGCTAAGCCCCGGATATATCCACTAAACCCCCATCCACTAAAGTCTTTAAGTGAACTTAAAACAATCCTCACATAAACCTGTAATAGATCATATTTACCCGTGGCGTTCCTGACAGGAAATGTACAGAATGGCTGAAGAATGACGTTTCTTAAACTACATTACCCATGATTCCTTGCTGGCGGCTCTGTCACACAGGAAAACGCATGGATTTACACGCAGATCTGCTTCTAATCACATGTATGTTGACATATAGCATTAGAGCGCATTTCCTCAGATCAGCGAACGGACATCACGACTCTGGACTGCGATTCTTCCTCGTCGGGGTTTATTCTCTGATGGCGTGATGCGCGTGAGCGGGAAATAGGGCACGCAAACACTCGGAGGCAGACGCGTCGGTGTCGCGGAGAGACTCGCCCGGGAGCGATGGTGGATAACCGGCACGCCACAGCTCTGGTCCTCGCCGGGGTCCTGAGCGTCCTGGCGTCCGTGTACCTGTCGGTGTCGGTGGGCTCTCCGCACTGGTACCAGTACACGAGCCCGCCGGTGCGCGCGGAGCCCAACGCCTCGGAGCTGCGCGCGCTGCAGGACGAGTTCCTGGACGGAGAGTTCGACGAGAAGAGCGCGAGCGACGCGATGTTCCGCATGAACGGCACGCTCGGGCTCTGGTGGCGGTGCGTTCTGACGCCCACGGACGCGCACTGGTACCGAGAACCCGGTGAATACTGTTATAACCAGATAGATTGATTACTGTGATTGTTCTCTGACTGTTATTTACATTTTCCAGGCGAACATAATTGCCGTTCTTGTACATTAATGTAATGCTTGTTTGTTTCAGATCCGAAGATGGTGATGGAGTGTGTGAGCTTCACTCTCTCTCAGCAGTTCATGCCGAAATACAAAGAGCCTGGAAACCACAACAGTGGAGAGGATCTGATACGAACCTGTGAGCAAACACACACTTTATACATTTTTAGCAGTCATATCACCCTGTAGCCCAAGACTGGTTGCCCACTGAAGCTAAGCAGGGCTGAGTCTGGTTAGTACCTGGATGGGAGACCTTCTGAGAAAGCCAGGTCGCTGCTGGTAGAGGTGTTAGTGAGGCCTGCAGGGGGCGCTCACCCTGGGGTCTGTGTGGGTCCTAATGCCCCAGTATAGTGACGGGGACACTATACTGTCAAAGAGCACCGTCCTTCAGATGAGACGTTAAACCGAGGTCCTGACTCTCTGTGGCCATAAAAAAGGCCAGGATGTCTTTGGAAAGAGTAGGGGTGTAACCCCGGCATCCTGGCCAAATTTGCCTAGTGGCCTCTGTCCATAATGGCCTCCTAATCATCCCCATATATACCAGTTGGCTTCATCACTGTCTCCTCTCCACCAGTAAGCTGGTGTGTGGTGGGCGTTCTGGCGCACTATGGCAGCCGTCGCATCATCATCCAGGTGGAGCTGCACACTGGTGGTGGTTGAGGAGATTCCCCTCTCTATGTGAAGCGCTTTGAGTGTCCAGAAAGGCGCTATATAAATGTGATGAATTATTATTATTATTATTATTATTATAACGCTTCAGACGCCACTAATAAGAGGAAAGAAACAGGACAATCAAAATCATTAGAACAAATATGTAAATTAAATTGTATTTAAAAAATGATTTAATAATATGTGAAAAAAACTCACAAGAACACATCAAATGTAATCAATGCTGTGGAAATGACCGTATAGTATTGCTTAATGGATTTAATATGAGGTGTTTTATGATTATAGCTGATTTCTAAAGACTTTATATCATCTTTATTTCTGCGGCACATGCAGTGTTTCAAACATCTTTACAGCAGAGTCACATTACACAGTGATCAGTTATCAGAGGTAACTCTAGAAGTTATGTATTTCAGAAATGTACATATACAAATCACAGTTGGCTTAAAATATAGTAATTTAAACAATGTAATATTTAAAGTTACATTAGAGCTGTATGAGAATATATATATATATATATATATATATATATATATATATATATATATATATATATATATATATATATATATTAGGGGTGTGCAAAGCAGCCGGTATTTGTATCTGTATTTGTATTTGTTCAGGGAGGAAAAGTATTTGTATTTCTATTCGAGTAAAATTCAAAATAGGCATAAAAATCTTTAAAAATACTTTATAGTGTATGGATTCTTTAATTATATCCATTATAATAATTATGGATATGCTATATTGGTTGATGTTTTTCTATAAATCCTGTAACAAGAAAAGTCATTGAAAAGAAAATAACAGTCAGCCATTACCTCATGAACCATGGTTAAACCAACAACTAATAAAATAAAATTGTGAACATTATGAACCCCAACACCACGGTGGAGGACGCTGAGCAGACAGATGGCTTTTTTTAGGCCGATTTCCCCCTCACGAGAATCGGAGAAAAAATCTTTTTGATTACCTCGATCAGTTCCGATGTTCGGCGCAGATTATCTGGTAATGTGAGGCGTTCACAGATCGAATATTGCACCTGCCGATCTGCTCTCACACAAACATGTTTGATATTTATCAGGATGAGCAAGACTGTGATTAACGTCAGTACTGTCTAGCCATAAGAAACAGGCTGTGGTGGTGAAGAATTCTGAGTGACTCAACAGCGCGATATGTGATATTATCTTCATTTATTTATTTATTGCTAAATTAATAAGTGCTGTGCCGTGGTCAGCAGGCACGAAGACGAGTATATGTTCAGTAATAAAACCGAAACTAAATAGTGCATTGAAACAAAGTGGAGTAAACAGAAGATACAAATGTCAAAATAAGGGTTCACATAATATAATAACAGAACATAAACCTGACAATATGCTTTTTATGCCATTGTAATATAACAGTTAGTTCGATCCTCGAATCTCGCTTTACTAAAGGCTTTCTGCTGATATTTCACCACTCGGCATTGCTCGTCTCTGCGTGTTATAGACAGGCTGACGCTCAGTGCAGTTACATTGTTACACCACTAGGTGGCGACAAGGGACTGTCTTTGAGTGAGTCATAAAACTGTTCATTCAACAGAAATGTAAAAAAAAAATGCAGATTCATTCAAATAAAGATGTAATGAAACCAGCTGTTATTTATTTTAATATTTCATTTTAACTTTGAGCTCCACTTTACGAGGCTCAGCAGCATTGCGGCGCATGGCCAACGAGAAACTGATGCTTCACTTCATTGAGATCAATGGCATTTTTTCATTGTGCTGACCAGAGCTGACGCCATTCATTAGAAATAGCCCAACCTTAAATGTTAAAAGGATGATTAAAAAAGTTCTCTTTCCTTGTTCATGGCAACGTTTTCACGAATATGACTTGATATGAGGGACAGCTTCTTTGTTTACATCCGCTTTTCTGCTTCCGATCTGCTGCGTGAGATCACGTGAGCCGCTTCCTCTGGCACAATCATTCTGTACGCGCAAATCACTCTCATATTTTACTCGTATATTTACGAATGTTTCATGAATGAGACCCTGTGTGTGTGTGTGCAGATCTGTGGGGTTGTCAGTTCTTCCTACTGCTGGACACACACACACACACACACTCGCGCACACACACTCACACTCTCACTCGTATCTAGGGTTGGGAATCGTGAGAAATTTTCCGGTTCCGCCAAACGATTCCGGTTCCCATTCAATTAAAAATATCAGTAAGAGAAAAATCCACAATCCCTTTTGTGTTTATTTCTTATAGTACTTGAAAAATGAGTTTAACAGACTGGTAATGTGAACAAATTCAACGTATTATTAATCAATCTTTGCAAAAAAATAAAAAAATAAAAAGGAAATAAAAAAATTCTGCATTCTCTATAATATTTTAGGACCTCTCCTTTATTGTATCTCCAACAGTGATACCCTCTCAGAAGGGGTAGAATATGCTTTAACACACATATGTGTGTAGATCAGATTATTTTTAAAAAACGGTTTGAATTATTGATTCATAAAGACTTGAATTATTGCATTATTACTGGATAAATCGGCCCTAAATAGCAGTTAATAAACAGGACTGCAGTGCATGCGTCTTGCGGAAGAACATAGTTGCCGGAGCTACTTCTCTGTTTATGTTCATGACGAGTCACGCAGGCATTGGGCTACTCCGCAGCGGCTGCGATCCGCCATCCAGTCGAAACAAGTCCGAGTATTAACGTTTATTACGGGCTTTACGTAGAGATTCAAGATAAGACAAAAACACGGTTTGAAAAAAAGCATTCATGATGCACTCGCTCATTGTATACATTTTGTAAATTCTGAACACAAAAAAGTTACGGACTGCGTTTTGATTACAACCGTCAATGTTTACTCAAACTATAATCTCACTACTTCTGTAACGGAAATCATTTTAATATGTGTAACAAATATTGATACTGTGATTATAAAGCAGTTTCATATCGACAACTGCTCTCTCTCTCAGCGCAAACAGATTTGAATGTACGTGACTCGGCAGCGCGTGTGTATTATAAACAGCGCGTGTGAGAGCAAATCGCAACTTCAGTGGTGAAGTTTTTGTCATTTAGGAATAAGACGGCGTAGGTGTTTGAATCGAAATCTTTTAAAGATTAATCATGCAGCTCTACTCTCTCTCTCTCTGTCTGCGCCTTGAGGTGAGACGCTAAAGGATAATCCACTCCCAGGACTTCGCCCTCATATCGCACCAGAACCGTTTTAGGAACCGAAACTTAGGAATTTAGCTCGGTTCCGGTATTTTTTCAAAAACACTACCGGTTCTGGAAAAGAACCGGTTCTCGGTTCCCAACCCTACTCGTATCTGCTCTTTAAACACAGTGTGTGTGTGTGTGTGTGTGTGTGTGTGTGTGCGCAGATCTGTGGAGGTGTCAGTTCTTCCTGCCGCTGGTGTCTCTGGGTCTGGTGGTTCTGGGTGGTTTGCTCGGGTTCTGTGCGTGTCTGTGTGGGAGTCTGACGCCGGCGCTCTTCATCGGCCTCATTCACCTCCTCGCAGGTCAGAGTTCACCTGTCCACCATCAGATCTAACCCTAATGCTGTTTCTGACCTCAGGTGTGTGTTCTCTGACCTCAGGTGTGTGTTCTCTGTCCTCAGGTGTGTGTTCTCTGGCCACCGTCTGCTGTTTCCTCGCCGGGACGGACCTGCTGCACCGCGTGTCGGTGTTGCCGGATCGTGTGGACGGTTCTCTGGGCTGGTCTCTGTATCTGGCGCTCGTGGCGTCTCCGCTGCACATGATGGCCGCCGGGCTGCTAATGTGGGCGGCTCGCAGTCACAGCCAGAGCTACGACCGCATGACCGTGTACAGAGTGGCATGAATCACGGATGACAGATCGGATCAGTGATGGAAGCTGCAGTGAACATAACCCCGCCCCTAACCCTACCCATCTCTGCCCCCTGATCCATAACCCCGCCCCCAACCCTACCCATCTCTGCCCCCTGATCATAACCCCGCCCCTAACCCTACCCATCTCCGCCCCCTGATCATAACCCCGCCCCTAACCCTACCCATCTCCGCCCCCCCTCTGATCATAACCCCGCCCCTAACCCTACCCATCTCCGCCCCCTGATCATAACCCCGCCCCTAACCCTACCCATCTCCGCCCCCTGATCCATAACCCCACCCCTAACTCTACTCATCTCCGCCCTCTGATCCATAACCCTGCCCCTAACCCTACCAATCTCCGCCCCTAACCCTACCTATCTCCGTCCCCTAATCCATAACCCCGCCCCTAACCGTACCCATCTTCGTCCCCTGATCCATAACCCCGCCCCTAAACCTACCCATCTCCGCCCCCTGATCCATAACCCCGCCCCTAACCCTACCCATCTCCGCCCCCTGATCCATAACCCCGCCCCTAACCCTACTCATCTCCGCCCCCTGATCCATAACCCCGCCCCTAACCATACCCATCTCCGCCCCCTGATCCATAACCCCGCCCCTAACCCTACCCATCTCGGCTCCCTTATCCATAACCCCGCCCCTAACCCTACTCATCTCTGCCCCCTGATCCATAACCCCGCCCCTAACCATACCCATCTCCGCCCCCTGATCCATAACCCCGCCCCTAACCCTACCCATCTCGGCCCCCTTATCCATAACCCCGCCCCTAACCCTACTCATCTCCGTCCCCTGATCCATAACCCCGCCCCTAACCCTACCCATCTCCGCCCCCTGATCATAACCCCGCCCCTAACCCTACCCATCTCCACCCCCTGACCCCTAACCCATCCCTAATACTACTTTTCTCCACCCCTTAGATCTGATCCAACTCCGCCCCCTGGATCTTGTGTAATGCAATGAGGTGCTACTGCAACTGCTAATCAGAAACAATCATGTTTTGAGAATGTCAGATGCACTTTCAAGTGATAATGATTTCTTACATTTGTGTGTGTGTGTGAGTGAGAGAGAGTGTGTGTGTGTGAGTGAGAGAGAGTGAGAGAGAGTGTGTGTGTGTGTGTGTTTGAGCACAGATGAACTGTCAGTGCTTGTGAGTCTGTGCTATAAGACGTGATTTCGCTCAGTATTCGGGTCCGCTTTAGCTTTAGTGGAGTGGCATGAACAGACAGGAGTTCTGCTGTGTTCTGCGTTTAATGTATTAATCCTATTTATTACTATCACTTTTATTTATTTATTTATTTCTGTACAATTTATTTGGTCATTTGTGATAAGGTATACATCCGCTGAATGTGTGATGATAGTTCGTGATGATGTTGCTTGAGGTTGATTCGTCACACTGGAAATGAAGGTCAGTTGCAGTGCATTGTGGGATACAGTATCACTGCAGGTATTGGTCGATGTATTCTATGATCGGTGTATTTCTGCATATAGAAACATCATCTGTGCACCATATATGTTGAAAATGTTTGTTTTTCTGAACATATTAAGGTTGACTATCACATGCATTGATAAACTCATGAAACTAATGCTGATGTTGTCTGTCATCTGTTCATCATGTGTGTGTGTGTGAGCGGACGGAGGGAATCTCCACTCTTCTCCTCCGGGCGAGGGAGAGAGCCACACCCTTCTCGTAGTACGCAGCCTCGTTAACGAAGAACGGGTAGAGCGCTTCTCTCCCTCTGTAGCGCAGCGTTTCTCCGGAGAAGGTCAGGAACAGGGGATCTCCCGGGCGGAGGAGACAGAAGTCCCTGTCCTGAGCAGAGAGAGAGAGAGAGGGAGAGGGAGAGAGGGAGAGAGAGAGAGAGAGAGGGAGGGAGAGAGAGAGAGAGAGGAGAGAGAGAGAGAGAGAGAGGGAGAGAGAGAGAGAGGGAGAGAGAGGGAGAGTGAGAGAGAGAGAGAGAGAGAGGGTTTACTCTGTCGTTCATCAGTATTAATTAGTCCACCAGAGTGTGTCATGGCTCTGTACCTGCAGGTCGGGATGCACCGCGGCCGTGATCATGTGTGTCTGAGGGTCTCGTGGATAATCAATATTCCTCACCATCGTGAAAACATCAACAGATCCTGCTTCAAACAGGGTCCCTGAGCAGAGAGAAGCCATGAACACACACACACACACACAGATCAGATTCTGCAGGGTTTGTAGTTGGAGATGTACCGGAGTTGAACTGGCAGATCCAGTCCAGCATGAGCTGAACTCCGTCCCGCATGGCGCTGAAGACCCCGGACCGGACGAGGCCGTGCGGCTGCGGGCCGACCTCCAGCGCTGGGGGCAGAGGGCACATCCAGAAGCTCACACCACAACATCACATCTCATTTACTGCAGTGGCAGATTCATCTGTGATCGAGCGTGTCCGGCGATGACCACAGCCTAACCCAAACCCAAACCCAAACCCAGTGAGTGTTTCTGACCCAGTGCTAGAGTCTCCCAAACCAACCAACGTCGCTTTTAGGTCGCTAACGTTTGTTCTTTGTGTTTCTCATGAATGCTGGGGTCACTCATCACTGTAATCTCACGGCGTCCTGGAACTTATTTATCTGACCATGTGATGATTCAGGTTTATTCTAATCCACGCTGACGGCGCTCGATGAAACTGTAGAGCGTCTGAGTCTGAAATGTCCAATGTGCCGATTCAGAGAGAACTTAGAAAAAGTTATACAACAGGCCGTCAGAATTGTAAATAATGTAAATAATAACATTTAGTTAAATGCCAGACATAGTTTAAAAGAATCCTGGTCTTCTCGGGTCCATTCGTTAAAAACACATGTATTTTAAATTAGCGGAGACCCGAGGCCACTGATACCGAATCGACCCGTGTCCGAACCCAAGCGGACCCGTGAAGACCTCTCGTGTGACGCCAGACTGATGTTTATTTGGAGAAGGAATGGATGAGTGAATGATGAACTCTTTGGGTTTTAATGGTCTCACCAAAGCCGTGTTTCCCCACTGAGTCCAGAGAATACGCCTCGTCGGGGGGAAGGTCAAAGTGAACGTATCGAACGGGAACGGCGGCCATTTCTCTCTGAAAACACACAAATACTCACAGACGTTAGACACTAATACAGCATTTCGTCATGAAATATATGAGCAGTGCTGGGGAACGTGTGCCTGCAGGTGTTTGCAGATGTGCAGGCCGATCCAGTCGCAGTCGGAGTGTGTGATGAGACACAGCCCTGTGTTGGCAGTGGTGTTGTGCAGATCACACAGCAGATCCACCGCCTGACCGCTGCCTTTAGGACCCAGGAGCGCGTCGAGCTCCCGAGAGCGGATCATCTCGTACGGCGAGTCCTCGGAGACGGGTGCGCTGACACACACACACACACACACACACAGTCTGAGAGTCTAATTAAAATGCAGAGATGCAACAGAAACAGTCAATCACTGTAGAGCAGAAATACACAACATACATTTTTTCCACTTCAAACACTAATTAGTGATAAATGTTTACAAATGTTTTTATTCTTATTTAAATTCAGTGCTGTACTTTTTACAGAGTTTTACAAAGATAAAGTTTAAACATTAGACTTTATAACTTTTTTCAGTTATAATGGTGCTTGCTTTCATTTAGTCGCAGAGAAGATCCCGGATTTATTTTAACTTAATCATGTTCCATGTTAGTAAAGAGATGGACACGGCGACCCCGTAGACGGACAGGGAAGCGTCTCTCCCTGCTGGCGGAGCGACACGGAGCTGGACGACGGAGATGTGGCGTGAGGACCCGGTCTGACCGTGCTGAGAGCAATCTGACCTCTCCCTCCCGGATCTGGAGCGCGAGTACAGCCTTCCGTGAGCAGCAGGATCAGCTTCATCACTCTCTATGGCAGGGGTTCGAGATGAGGATCTGAATCAGGTGTGTTAAATAAGGGAGACGTACACAATCTGCAGAGCAGTGGGTCGCGAGGACTGGAGTTGAGAACTGATGGCCCGCGAGCTTCTCCTTCTGCAGAGCGTCGCGGGATAGGACACCATCGTTAATCAAATTTGACAAAAACTGCTTCTACAGACCCATAATGTAAGATACAAAGTAATGGAGCGTTTTATACATTGTCATGTTTCTTTTGAAATAAATAATGGATAAACGGAGTCTTCAAACGCCTCAGATGTAAAGTTATTCGCTGTCAAAGTGACGCCAAAATGAATGGGAGTCAATGGTAATGCTAACAGCAGCTAGATATGTGAAATATGTGTAAAGGATATGTGAAGTGTAATTTCATTGTTTAGTTGGTCTCACGTCCCGTTGAATACCATGAGGCGGGGGTTATGAGCTATACTAGGACCGGCCACTGGGGGGCGATCGAGACGTTTTGGCTTCACTTTTGAGGGCTTGGGCTGCACGCTTGGTATGTACCAATTTACCATATTTTAAAGTCCCCGTGAACCGGAAGTTGCAAACGATTTTTCTCCAGTGCTGTGACGTATTTCCAAGTGAAACGGAATATTGAACAGAGGGCAGGGTTTTACTCTAGCGCTCCTCCTCTCCATCTCTCGCTCATAGCAAACTAACGGTTTGAGGGGAGTGGTTAAGCGTTTCCCCACCCAAACTGTGAAACCTACGTCATCAGAAAAAGAAACCGTTCCAGACCGGAAGTAACTTTTCAGATTTTGATTAAAGATTACTAAGGTAAAACATTTTTTTAATATATATTCACTTGCACGGATTAATTGTTCACCACAAGACTAGTAATATGGGCTAACAAAGTAAATAGGTTCAATTTTGATTTCACGGGGACTTTAATGAGTTTTGTTTTGGTTCTTGTGTTTGGAATTTGGAACAGCAGGACTGGACAATAAGGACCAGAACAATGGCCCAGGGTCAAAGTTCACATTATTTATCAGGTGTTTTGCCAATTCAGATACAAGTACAAGAGGTGTCACGTGAGACGTTTAGTGTGCATCTCAGACAGCGTGCGAATGTCAACAATTATATCGGGTGAGTATCCTGTAAACAACTAAATCTGTTATATCTTAAGAGAACGTAAACAACCGAGAAATAAAACACGTGTAACAGTGTATTATTGGATCCGTGCAGCTCTTAAAGTGACAGCGGCCTAATATTCCTGTTAAAGTTAATCAAACAACAAAAAACAAACACACACTGCTCTCAACTGAATAACTTTAGTAAATTTAACAATGATCAATCTATATTGAATGTATACAGTGAAGACCCAATTTAAGATGCAGTGCTATTTTACATTTGGTTATTTTCTCCACCGTAAGTTATTGTTATACTTGCCTGATGTCAGCGTTTATTCTATTTGTAAGTTTGTTCTATTGTTCGTAATTTATTATTTGTTGTTATTGTAATACTGACACTTTACTTGTCTTTAACAATATTTGAAAGTTATTTTTGAGTTAGGCTTGTAGTTTTTTGTGTCACTGACTTAGTTATGATAAATAAGGCAGTGACACAAAAAAACAAAAAACATACTAACTGGGCCTATTTTATTTATTACGTGTGGTGGGGCCAATAGAAAAACCCTTAGCATTGGGCCTGGAACAGGTTTTGTTTGTCAAATTTGTTGTTTATTGTCACAAATATTTGACCGTATTTATGTGTGATCATGTTTTGAGCAGTAGGTATTGTCTCCGGTCTCACCTGAGCGCAGCCCGCGTGAAGCATCGGTTCAGGTCCGTCTCCACGTAGCGCACACACAGCTGTACCGCGCGCGGGTTCGACATCAGCGTTACCACGGAGACCGCCTCTGTGCCATCCTCCCTCCTCTTCAGCCTCTCTCTCACCAGGTAGACGCCTGACAGCTCGTTGCCATGGGTACCGCCGCACACCGCCACACGCGACACCGCCGGCAGAGCGACCACCTGAAAAATCAACCAGCTATCAATTCATTTACAAATGTTCTATTAACTTACAACAGAAATCTAGATTTACACACTTCCTGAAATGAGCATTATCCATAAAGGATTATTAGGAACACCTGTTCAATTTCTCATGAATCTAATTATCTAATCAACCAATCACATGGCATTTAAGTCAAATCAAGTATATTTATATAGACCTTCTCATAATATAGATTACATCAAAGTAGCTTTACAGTGTCAATCTAAACATAATAATAATGTTTGTTTCTTGGTGGAAAAACATCCACGTTTGGTAGAGCTGATCAATGGTATTAATGATTGGTTAATTAATTTGCCAATTATAAGCCAAAGGCAACAGTGGCAAGGAACCGAAAAACTCCATTAGGTGACCTAATGGAGAAAAACACACACCTCAGGCTCAGTTGGGGCCAGTTTGGGTTAATTTCTAATTCTAATGTCTCTAATGCTGGGCTTACACCAAAAGATTTAGAAAAGACTTTATAAGATTATCAGCTCACATCTAAAGACTTTGGGTTCAGAGTTTTTAGTCTCAGACTAAAGATTTTACAAACACTGAATCTTGTAGTGACACTATTTATAAGACTACAACTAGATTATTTTAGCTTCCCAACAAATTCCTCCCATCATTCCGCAGGTTGCGTGAATGTGAAAGCTACATGGATTAGGGGGCGCACTTCTTCATGAAGTAAAGTATCCTGCGCATGTGTCCTTATTGTGATGAATTCAGTTAAATAAAACACTTTTAAGGGATGATAGTGTTGATGATTTCCCTTGGATAAGAGCGAGAGTGAGCCTGAAGTGTACTCGTGCATTGGAATCAGAGCAACACATTTGGAAATCCCTGTCGCCTCAGAAGAGTCCGTTTGCAAGCAACAGAAGTACACCTTATGTGACACGCACAGTAAACCTATATTGCATACACTCAACTGCGCATAATAGCAGCAAATGAATAGAATATATATATATAGACTATAGGCCCTATACCGCAGGTATTTTCCACACTATAAGGCGCACTTAAAAGCCTTTAATTTTCTCAAAAAACGCCTTATATCAAGCGCCTTGGATAAATGGGTTAACAACGCTCCGCGTTATTAAATTCGCCCGTGAACTCGCGCTCGTGTCCGTCTTATGGCCGCTTTTTCACACGGCCAGTTCAACCTCGTATAAATCAGGTTAGCTGTGTGTGTCTCCCGCTCACGAGCGCTCACTCTGAACAGACACACTGTCCCCGGTGCTGCTCGCGTGTCAGAATGTCCATCAAGCGCTCCCCGTTCACAGTAACCGAGTCGTCTCATTCAAAACAGACAGCTGTTGCTGTCAGAGAGCCGCCGCACATTGAATGCTCATGAGTCAGCATGCCAATGTAAGTTACGTGCCCGCCCGAGCGCGCTCACACTAATAAACGCCTCACCTCCGGCGCCGCGCACTCGCTACATTCCCAGCACATCTAGTGGATGCATAACGTAAACCCACTCAAACATGTGACTGTAGTATCTTATGTGCCTTATAATCCAGTGCGCCGGATATGAAAAATGTTGTAAAATAGGTCATTCGTTGAAGGTGCGCCTTAAGTGCGGTAAATACGGCTATATATATTTACCCACGTTCTGCTTTCTATCATATATCGAGCTATAATTTTTTGCTCCATATCGCCCAGCCCTAGTAGATATAAAAACTTTTCTGGTAAGGAAAAAAGTCAATATCAGGAAACAATGTGTAATTACCATCACATCCAGCCGGCTCCCTGAGACGGCTCCTATGAGTGGGTCTCGAACTTGTGTCTCTGGTGTGAGAGGCGGACATGCTCACCTCCATTTTATTGGTTGTTGATTGTTTTACATCACTAGGACTACGCTAGGACTTACGATAATATCTAACATGTTTGATATGAAAGACTAGAGAAAGACTGGCAAAAATCGGGTCGTCGACTGCAGATTATCACCTCACATTTAAAGATCGAGATGACGGGAGCGCGCCGAGATTTCAGTAAGATTCCTAAAGACTGCCCGTGTTTAGTCTGGGACTGTGAAAATCCTTTGGTGTAAGCCCAGCAATAACAGACTTAAAATGTGAACCTGTGATAAACGCTGATGACATTCACATGCGCATTAAGAAACTACTTGTCTATAAATGAACAAACTACTTGTCTATAAATTTGAATGAGAATTTTTTTTTATTTTATCACTTCATTTAGGGGTGTGGTCCTGGTCAAGACAATCTCCTGAACTCCAAACTGAATGTCAGAATGGGAAAGAAAGGGGATTTAAGCAGTTTTGAGCGTGGCATGGCTGTTGGTGTCTGAGTATTTCACAATCTGCTCAGTTACTGGGATTTTCACACACAACCGTTTCTAGGGTTTACAAAGAATGGAGTGAAAAGGGAAAAACATCCAGTATGGGTCAGTCCTGTGGGCCAAAATGCCTTGTTGATGCTCGAGGTCAGAGGAGAATGGGCCGACTGATTCAAGCTGATAGAAGAGCAACTTTGACTGAAATAACCACTCGTTACAACCGAGGTATGCAGCAAAGACACAAGACACACAACCTTGAGGCGGATGGGCTACAACAGCAGAAGACCCCACCGGGTACCACTCATCTCCACTACACATAGGAGAAAGAGGCCACAATTTACAAGAGCTCACCAAAACTGGACAGTTGAAGACTGGAGAAATGTTGCCTGGTCTGATGAGTCTCGATTTCTGTTGAGACATTCAGATGGTAGAGTCAGAGAATGAGAACATGGATCCATCATGCCTTGTTCCCACTGTTGGGCTGGTGGTGGTGGTGTAATGGTGTGGGGGATGTTTTCTTGGCACACTTTAGGCCCCTTAGTGCCAATTGGGCATCGTTTAAACGCCACGGCCCACCTGAGCATTGTTTCTGACCATGTCCATCCCTTTATGGCCACCATGTCCCCATCCTCTGATGGCTACTTCCAGCAGGATAATGCACCATGTCACAAAGCTGGAATCATTTCAAACTGGTTTCTTGAACATGTCAATGAGTTGACTGTACTAAAATGGCCGCCACAGTCACCAGATCTCAACCCAATAGAGCATCTTTGGGATGTGGTGGAACGGGAGCTTCATCCCACAAATCTCCATCAACTGCAAGATGCGATCCGATCAATATGGGCCAACATTTCTAAAGAATGCTTTCAGCACCTTGTTGAATCAATGCCACGCAGAATTAAGGCAGTTCTGAAGGCCAAAGGGGGTCAAACACACATTAGTATGGCGTTCCTAATAATCCTTTAGGTAAGAGTATAAAGCTGCTTTAATGTAATGATGTTACTTACGTTGTGTGTGTCCATCCTAGCAGCTCTTCTGGCTGACGGTTGACCTCAGAACTGTGACCCTGCAGCTTTGCTCCAGGGGAGCAAACACAATGAAACACACTGAAATGCACACTGCTTCAGTTCATCTGAGTCAGCAACTCGCTCCCTCTCTCTCTCTCTCTCTCACCCTCTCTCTCTCTCTCTCACCCTCTCTCTCTCTCTCTCTCTCTCTCTCTCACCCTCTCTCTCTCAATTCAATTCAATTCAGTTCAAAATGTGCTGATTGGCATGACAGTTGTTACATTGTATTGCCAAAGCATTTTTATTTTATTTTTTTTACAGTGAATCAACATGCGTACATGTACATATCTACGTAGATTTAAAAAAAACGGGTAGAATTAGAATCAATGTACATCGAATTTTATGAACAATTTAGAATTCAGCGTTTGTGTGTGTGTGTGTGTGTGTGTGTGTGTGTGTGTGTGACCCGTGCTGCCAAAATCAATTGGATCAAGTTTCAGGAAAAACAAGTGAAAAATTTCAATTTTGGATTCTCAGGTTTTCATAAAAACGTGTTCATTAAGCCCTTGTCTAGCGATTCCAATGTTCCAAATAGCAATTTTTTATTCATTTTCAACACAGTGCAGCAGCTATAGCAGACCTAGAGCGGGCATTCTAGCGCACTCATTGGCTGCTCTGCGGGAACTGCAGCAGCCTACCAGCGAGCCCGACGTGACGTCATGTCCAATCAAGGGCGCTCACGCCCTCACCACGTCCTGGCCCGCCAGAATGGGCATGGCTTAGCATATATAAGCAGGACTCGGAGACTGTTTCTCTGGTTTTCATCGACTGAAGCGAAAATAGCGCTCGTGGCACGAGCTCGGCAGGTTATGCAATACTCGTTCCCTCGTCTAGAGAGAACCGTGGTTACCGTACGTTAGGTAACCAATTCGTTCTCTTACAAGAGGTTCTCTCGTATTGTGTACTGTAAGTTTACCTTATGCTATACGGAAAGCCTTTGTCAACGCCGTGCGCGCCAGCATCCAACTCACAGCGCCCTGACCGGGCAGAGGAGATTAACATCACTCTCACTATCGATTTGACTGTGACTGTAGGAGCACATCTGATCTCCTCTGGAAGCTGGTCCAGCATAATAGCTAAAGCAGACTCTCCATCTTACAGTGAACCCTTGGTATTTCTGTCTGATGTGATCCTGATGATCTGAGTGATCTGTTTGGATCTTGTTTATTCAGTAGGGTTGGGTATCAGTTGGGTTTGATCCGATACCTGTACCTACTCTGTATTTTTTAAACAGTTCCGGTGCGTAAACGGTTCTTGAAATGGTACTTCAGAAAATAAATTGCACACACTTTGTAAAAAAAGAATACCCTTTTATTTACAGGGCCAAACTGGACACAATATTAAGTTAAATATTTAAACAATATAAATACAATTAACATATGGTAATAATAAATAAACCAATATAAAATAAAAATTCATGTTTACATATCAAATTAAACAAACAATGTAATAATCCTGGAGATTAACAGAGATAACTACCAGGGTAATCTAATATCGACATGACTACAGGTTCCCATGTTTTGTCTGCTTGAACCAGTTATGTAAGTTATCTGGTCATAGTACTATGTACGCAGCGCTTAACATGGGTACGGAAAAAAATACGGACCGCATACGCACTGTAAACGGGCATGTGTGAAACGGGCGTTAGCCTTTATCTGTTGTTATCATGCCTTTTGAAATGGTGCAATAATATTGCACCATTTCATGCGTTTCATCTTCAGAGAGATCGTTCTTCCTCCCCATATTGCACGAGAACTAATAATGTTGAAAATATTAACTTCAGGGTTAGGGTTTCCATTACCTAAGACCTTTGGAACACAGTGTATGGATATGTAGATGGTCAAACATTCTTTTGTGTGCACTTTGCATTTTGTTTATTGACAACTTAAAACTATTTATGCTATTATGAATGTGAAAAAGTGAAAATCATTAGGTGAGTTTTGCTGGTCACACACACACACACTGTGCAGTGAGATATGAGCTGTGGTCGGATACAACTTCCTCTTTTTTCAACTGCTTAAAACAACCTGTAGCCTACAGTTAACAGAAAAAGCAGTGAAGCAAACATAGAAATGCTGACATGACTTGCTGTAGAAATGTTGTGTCCGCGTGTAAGATGTCTGCTTTCCCTGTCCATCTGTATCAGTATTGAATGTTATCCCTCAGTCTAGTTGTTTAGCCCTTTGGCTCAGAAACTGGTCATGACTTGTGTTGTGATACTATAGTCAAGTCAACTCACCTTTATTGCTGCTTTTGACATTGCATATATATATACAGGTCCTTCTAAAAAAAAATAGCATATTGTGATAGTCATTATTATTTGAAGTTCATTATTTTCCATAATGTAATGATAAAAATTAAACTTTCATATATTTTAGATTTATTGCACACCAACTGAAATATTTCAGGTGTTTTATTGTTTTCACACTGATGATTTTGGCCTACAGCTCATGAAAACCCCAAATTCCTATCTCAAAAATTTAGCATATTTCATCCGACCATAAAAAAGAAGCGTTTTTAATACAAAAAAAGTCAACCTTCAAATAATTATGTTCAGTTATGCACTCAGTACTTGGTCAGGAATCCTTTTGCAGAAATGACTGCTTCAGTGCGGCGTGGCATGGAGGCGATCCGCCTGTGGCACTGCTGAGGTGTTCTGGAGGCCCAGGATGCTTCGATAGCGGCCTGAAGCTCATCCAGAGTGTTGGGTCTTGCATCTCTCAACTTTCTCTTCACAATATCGCACAGATTCTCTATGGGGTTCAGGTCAGGAGAGTTGGCAGGCCAATTGAGCACAGTAATACCATGGTCAGTAAACCATTTACCAGTGGTTTTGGCACTGTGAGCACGGGCCAGGTCGTGCTGAAACATGAAATCTTCATCTCCATAAAGCTTTTCAGCAGATGGAAGCATGAAGTGCTCCAAAATCTCCTGATAGCTAGCAGCATTGACCCTGCCCTTGATAAAACACAGTGGACCAACACCAGCAGCCCAGACCATCACTGACTGAGGGTACTTGACTCTGGACTTCAGGCATTTTGGCATTTCCTTCTCCCAGTCTTCCTCCAGACTCTGGCACGTTGATATCCGAATGATATCCAACCACTGAGCAACAGTCCAGTGCTGCTTCTCTGTAGTCCAGGTCAGGCGCTTCTGCCGCTGTTTCTGGTTCAGAATTGGCTTGACCTGGGGAATGCGGCACCTGCAGCCCATGTCCTGCTCACGCCTGCGCTCGGTGGCTCTGGATGTTTCTACTCCAGACTCAGTCCACTGCTTCCGCAGGTCCCCCAAGGTCTGGAATCAGTCCTTCTCCACAATCTTCCTCAGGATCCGCTCACCTCTTCTCGATGTGCAGCGTTTTTTGCCACACTTTTTCCTTCCCACTGAGGTGCCTTGATACAGCACTCTGGGAACAGCCTATTTGTTCAGAAATGTCTTCCTGTGTCTTTCCCTCTTGCTTGAGCGTGTCAATGATGGCCTTCTGGACAGCAGTCAGGTCGGCAGTCGTACCCATGATTGCGGTTTTGAATGATGAAACAGGCTGGGAGTTTTTAAGCCTCAGGAATCTTTTGCAGGTGTTTAGAGTTAATTAGTTGATTCAGATAATTAGGTTAATAGATCGTTTAGAGAACCTTTTCATGATATGCTAATTTTTTTATATCATTTTATTTCATCATTACATTTAATTTTTTTCATTATATATATATATATATATATAATATAATATAGTATATAGTATATATACAGTACATATATATATATATATATATATATATATATATATACAGTGTATATATATTAGGGCTGTGCAAAAATTAATTGCAATTAATCGCATCCAAAATAAAAGTCTGTGTTTACATAATATATTTGTGTGTGCTGTATATAATTATTTTGTATATATAAATACACACACATGCATGTATATATTTAAGAAAATGTGTTATTGATATATAAAATATTTATATTTATATAATATAGATTATGCATTTATATATATATATATATATATACAGAATTTAAGAGCAAATAATTCTTAAATATATACATGCATGCATAGGTATTAATATATACAAAATAATTATATGCAGCACACACAAATATATTATGTAAACACAGACTTTTATTTTGGATGCGATTAATTGCAATTAATTTTTGCACAGCCCTAATATATATATATACATCGCCAGCCTGGAGACTATGATGTCATCATCCAGCTCAGTTCAGTTCGCTTACGAGAGGTTCTCTCGTATTACGTAAGTTTATCTTACATTACAGGAAAGATTCATCATCTCGAGATATTGAAGCCAAAAAAAATTATCCTTAATATTGTGTTCACTGTCAACGCAGTTAGAGTTAGGGTTAGTCTATGATACAGCAGCCAGCAGACCAAGAGCGGGCCGTGTAGCGTGCTCATAGGCTGCCCTGCGGGCACTGCACAGCCTACCAGCGAGCCCGATGTGACGTCACGGCCAATCAAGGGCGCTCGCACTCTCACCGCGGCCTGGCCTGCCGGAATGGGCGTGGCTTAGCATATATAAGCAGGACTCGGAGGCTGTTTCTGTAATTTTTTATCTCTTCAGCAAAGCTGCACGCATCGCCGGATCTTGAGAAGCCGCCGCCGATGTCGAAACAGCAACAAGCCAGCTAGGACAGTGACCGAGGAAGCCGGCCTTCTTCACCACCTTCAGCCTTCCCGCCACGTAATTGCGCTCTCTGTCTGGGCCAGGAACGTGCTGCTCTTGCCCTTTCTTCAGGAGCATGTGAGCACTCCGAGGAGCTTCTGATGTCGACCCTGCGGACTCGACTCGAAGCGTTCCACGACGACGCGCCCCCTCTCACCGACGCGCAGCTGCCGCTCACAAGCCGCATTGCCATCGTTCTGAATGGGGACACGCCGCTAACAGCTGTTCTAACCGCGGCTAGCTTTCTTTACGTTATAACAAAGCTACCCCGTCCCCGTGCGCATGCATCACCGGCAAAATGAGGAAATAGTGTGTTAGTCCTGCCGAGGCCGGACTGATCCCCATTTTCTCAAACGTTTC